TAAAGATTTATAGCCTCGGAAACCCTGCACAGGGTTGCTATGAGTTGGAACTGACTCCACGGCACACAGCCACCAGCCACCAAATTAAAAAACCATAGTAGACATCCTCACACACTCTGTTTTCTCTGTTTGGCCGCGTGGTAGATACTGTGGCTTTAAAGACTATGAAGATGAGGAACAGGCCTTTGTTCTATTTAAAGAATGAGGCTCATCCACAAATGCCTTGAGACAGTTACAAGGATTTCCATTCTATGGTAAACCAATGCAAATCCAAGATGCAAAAACAGATTCTGATATAATTTTGAAAATATGTGGCACTTTTGCTGACAAAGAAAAGAAAAAAGCCAAAACTGTGGAGCAAACTGTAACAACCACAAACCAGAAGCCTGGTCAGGATACACTAAATTCAGCTAACACCCAAGGAGAGTCAACAACCAAGTCCTCAGGTCCCCGACTGCCTTCCAAACAATATTTTGTTTCTTAATAATTTACTGGAAAAGATGAATGAGATGATGTTATGCATGCTGTTTAACCATTTCCCTGGTTTTAAGGATGTGCGCTTGGCACCTGGAAAGCTGGACGTTGCTTTTTTAAAAAATTTATTTATTAAATGTTTTTATTTTGGATTGAGTGAACGTTTACAGGGCACATCATCAATTTCACATTCAACCATTCATATAGCTTGTTTCATTACATTGATTATTATCCCCTCCATATATCATCAGTTAACAGTGTTTCTCTCTATGGACGTTGCTTTTGTTAAATTTGAAAATGATGGGCAGGCAGGAGCTGCCAGGGATGTTTACAAGGATTTAAGGTCACACCATCCCATGCCATGAAGATCACCTATGCCATGAAATAACTTTTGGGATCATCTTCTTTTTTTTTAATTTAAGGTTTTTATTGTGGATTGAGTGAAAGTTTACAGGGCACATCATCAGTTTCACATTCAACAAATCATATACCTTGTTTCATTACATTGATTATAATCCCCTCCATA